TCGCAATTGCGTGTTATAGAGTCATAATTGCGTGATATAATGTCAGAATTGTGAGATAAAAAGTCAAAATTATTTATTTCATTTTTTTTATTCAATGGCGGAAACAAGCTTCCATAGTCACAAGCATCGCAAATATAAAAAAGTTTCTTATATTTTCATTTGTAATAAAAAAATATGTGTTTATATGAAACTATACTTTGCATCAAATTAGAAAAAAAATTGTTTTCTAGGTAAAATTGCTATCTTTCTCTCTTCCGACTGCCATTCTCAATTCTCAAGCTCTCTCTATTTCTTTTACTCTTTTTGAAAGCTGTAAAAACACTATTGTAGAGTTTTTATTTTGCTATTTGAACACAACAAATATATGTAATGTAGTCTCTCATTCACGGCTATAGCTTCTGAGAGACCCAGAAATGTGAAAAGGGTCAGATTAATAGGAGTACTGGTATACCAGAAGTTTCTGTGCCGAAAATAAGTTGCGAAGCGTTCCAGCCGCGAGATAATCATTTCACCCGCCTGTGGTTTCACACGTTCATCAGTTCAGTGTTTACGTCCTGCGGTGTTTTCTGGTGGCGAGGCGCCGTTTGAGCTCCCATCCTCCACTACGTTCAGTCGAGCATCTGTTCGCCTTCAAATATGACGCATATTATCCCCTCTCTCTCTTTAGCCGTCTGTGTCCTAGTTGTGCGTTTCTCCCTTAAATTCTTAATAGACGTTGAGAACAGCATGGAAGCCTTCCCAAGATCTCGAGCTGCCAAATGAATCAAAAATAGCTCTCCAAATGGCTTGGAATAAAACGACAGAATACAGTATTTATTTATTTATTGCTAAATGCCTGCTGAAATTTGGGAGAGGCGTAAAACTTGAGTGTGAATCTTCATGGGGTGTTTAATTTGCATTTCATCAGCTGCGTGATGTTGTTCTGAAAATGTCCATAAATCACCTTTGAGGAGGAAACTGTCAGCGTTCGGTTCAACGATCGGCTTTTTGTTAATTAGTGAATCCAGCTGTCGGAGCGAGTTGATATAAATGAGGTCTTCATTAGCGTCGCAGCGGTGCGGCTCAGACTGTGCCGAGTGGCATCGGGTGGCAGTGCCAAGCGCCGCTCTGAAGGGCACTGGTGTACTCGGCTCAGGGCATCTCTGTGGCATCAAGTTCAATCCACTGCAGTGCATTAGCGTGAGCCAGCCAGCCCAGGATGCTTTGCAACACACAAGAGTTATTTTGCTACTGATGACATTTAAAGCCAAGTAAAAGGTTTATGCTTGTTGTAATTCATTCGCTTTGGTTCTGAGCATGTTTGTCCACGGAGAAGCAGCTAATATCCTGTTCTCTTCACATTTTAATTGCCCCGATGTCCACATGGGTTTCATTGCCAATCCTTGCTTCACTGCAGCTAATGAAGTTTATGATTACAATCATCATTTTCATTATTGTTCATAATGAACACACAATATGGTGGAGGGAAAGCAAGAGAGAGAGAGAACGGCACCTCTCTGCTCGCCAAACATCCAAGTTGATTGTACTTAAATTTTATTTTAAAACTTAAATTTGATTTGAACTTAAATTTTATGCAGCAACTTTTTTTTTACAGTTTAACTTCTTTTAAGATTGCGTTTAGAACTTGCTTCAATGCGGATTAGCTTAATTTGAGATAAATGTATGATACCATTGTTGCATTATTGCTAAAATATGATATCAAACCCAGTGTTGTTATTGTTAGCTAAAACTATTAAAATTAAATGTAAGGTGAAAAAAAAAACGTTGCCATGGCAACTAACTAAAGAAATTAAAGTTGAAGTAGAAAAATTACTTAAAAATTTCAAAAGCACATAACAAAAGTTCTCCTAAAATGAAAACTGAAAATATAAAAATTAAAACTATTTAGCTCACACGCCCCGTTTCCTTGGTTAAAATCTCAATTTTCTCGCGATTTAAACATTGTTTGAAACATTTGAAATATTGTAAGTTATCATCTTAACTAAATATATAACACTGGCCTTGTGATTTTGGGATATTTTAATGCAAAAATCTTAGGTATTCCACCTTTAATGTCGATAGCTGTAATAGTAAAAGTATTCAAGATAGTTTTACATGTAATGCACAGCTATTTCATATGCAAGCATGTCAGCCAATCACAGCAGTGGGCGGTTCCACTGACACGCCCCTTCAAACTGAGCATTCAAATCAAATGGCTTTTATTTATTTAAATTATGACTATTTTTGATCTGAAACACATACTAACATTATAAGGGCAACCCAGGAAACATTATAAAATAATAAAATAACCCCATGTCAGGGGACCTTTAAGTAAATTGTTGCCTCTGTAGAAAACAGCTGATCGCCGAATGAACTGACTGGCCTTAAAGGGAGATGTCCATCGGATTAGTTAAAATAATTTAATAAAACGTCTCTCTCGCCCGTATTTGACTAACGTCTTCACATGCCGCACAACTGACTGACACTTTACTCCAATTAATGCGTTTGTTTGTGTCTCCCTGGAGCCCGATTCAATAATCCAAGTTTAACGGCATTAGCTCTGAGGCTGTGTGGTTTGAGCCTGTCAGGAAGGAGGGATGATATTGATGATCCCTCTGCTCCTCACTCCAGACTCACAGAAACAGGAGCTCGTTCCACTGCAGTGAGGAGAGAGGAGATTTCCCTCATTTCACCCTTTCCAAGAAGAAACACAACCGGAATGGGCGTCTCTCTCACAGTGGGTTTGCATCTACAGCGAAAAAATAAATAAAATTGCCCATCTCTTGACCTTTATATCTCATGTACATGAGATAGTAGTGGATCAGACGCATGCCTTTGGTGTGAGAGACCCGGGTTCGAATCCACAGTCACTTAACCCCTAGTTGCTCCAGAGGCGTGCGACCTCTGACATATATAGCAATTGTAATTCGCTTTGTTTGGATAAAAGCGTCAGCTAAATGTAAATTTTTATTTTTTATTTTTATTTATTTATTTATTTGACAGGGACAATGCAAACAAACGTAGTGTCAAGATCAAGCATGTCACTGAAGTGTTGCATATAAAGTTTATAGCTATAGCTAATTTTCAACTCCTGTCCCTGGAAGGGCTTTTATACACAATAAAATTTACATGATTAGCTACTTCAATAATAATAATAAAAAATAATAATAATAAAAAAATATATTATAATAATAATACTAATAATAAAAATACTAATAAGCATACATACATATCATATACAACTCTAATAATTAAATGTAGTTAAAATGAGTACAGTTTTGGTTTACTTTTAAATGTAAATGTAATGATAAAAAAGCTCCTTTCAATATAAATGTATGTTTTTTTTCCTACCCAGCCATGAGTCACAGGACACGACTCGTTTATATTTCTGTGGCGTTACAATGAGTAGCTCCGCCCACAGTCATATCTAATTGGTCCAAATTCCTTCTCTATATAGAGAGCCTAAGTCCCGCCCCTCCGCTTCCGGCTCATGGGACCTTATTTTGGGAAAAATATGTGTGGTAGTCAATGGCGAGAGACAACCGTCTGAACTGTGCCCTCAATTACACATATGATGTTCGTCAATTTCAAAGTCAAAAACGTCGCAGTTTGTCATAAAACAGAAGAGTAACATTTAGTTTTTATGTGAAAATCGCTCTGTGAACTACATCTCCCAGGAAGCGAAACGAGATCCGCCGCTCGTGTGTGTGCAGTCTGGGACAGACGGCGCAACGTTACGATTATAACGTAAGACTGTAGAAACGATGACAGACGTTAGCCTCAGTAAAGTTAGCTTCATTCATTGAGAGAAAATGTGTGCCTTTGGGGTTTGTAGTCTTTGTAATTACGTCTTATACCTCAACGGTTTTACATCAAACTGTGACTTTCTTTACTTTAAAATATATCTTTTAAATTGACAAACATCATATGTGTAATTCAGGGCACAATTCAAACGAGATCGAAATATGTGTTGTCTCTCGCCATTGACTACCATTCAATATTTTTCCGAAATAAGGTCCCATGGTGGTCGACCGGAAGGGGAGGGGCTTAGGCTCTCTATAAGTGTACATCAAAGCCTGATCTTCATTGGCTGCCTGTGAAAACGTCTCTTTTGACCCGCCCTCAAACGCTGTATATCTCAGGCGTGGAAGAGTTTGGTTCGTGTTGTCGACATGTAGAGGAAATCTCCGCCTCTGAAGCTGGAGTTCAGATATGGTAATGAGCGTTTTGTTTGCCAACACGCACTGTAAGCAGTAGACCAATCACAACAGACTTAGCCATCTAACCAATCAGAGCGGAGTAGAGTCTCGAAAAGGCGGGGTTTAGAGACTGAATCCTTATTAAACCGTTTAGACATTGTGAGAAATGAGGAGATGCAATGTAATGTCATTTCTCGAGTGCTGTATGTGTTCAACTGTGCGCTGTATGACATTTCAAATGACTGTAATTTATGCAGCACAACAGCCACAAACTATACGCCATCTAGCAGGACGACGACTCGCGTCAGAGCAATAACGAGCGTCGGTAACTACGGCAACGTGACGAACTCGCAGATCTTCCCCTGCCAAACATTCTTATGCTAATTCTACACGTTAATCAGAGGCTGGAAGACAAAGATAGAACTGAACGCAAGAGGATTGATTGAGGTAGAAGGAGAGAGAGAGAGACTAATATGATTAAATTGTGCCAGTGTGTGTGTGTGTGTGTGTGTGTGTGTGTGTAATAATCCTTCTTGCATATAATGACACGCTTTCCACTGTAACTAGACCCATACAGAATGCCATCAGCAGAAAACGAGCGGCACACACACACACACACACACACACACACACACTGAGGAAGTGTTTGAGATTCATTATACACACTGACTTATTAATTCAGGATGTGAAGGACTAAAGTGTGGTCAGCTAATGAGACAGAAGCTGACATATTCAATGCCTGTCTCATCATTCTTTGGGTCGATGTGTTTTAAGGTGTGCGCCACACACATTAATCTCAGTTGTATTTTTGTTTGTTTACAGAGACAAGAATCCGGATCAGCGGGGAACGTCAAACCCTCGGCTGGACAGGGTAGAGTCACTCACTACGCTATACACACACACACACACGCTCAAATCGTTCAAATATCACCGAATCTTTTGGAAGTCTGCATATGTTTCTCTTTCTCTCTCTGACACATTGTAAATAATAGTTGTGCAGAATGCTAAATAATATATGTTTGAAGGTAATTGTAAAGAATAAAGAAACAGATCTCACAAAAACGGTTATGATTTGCCCTCATACCGTTTATTTATTAAATATTACGGTAACACAATACACAAGTTCACGTTTGTTCCATTCCTTAAAGTTCAATTAGTTAATATATATGATAATATATTTATTATTAATCTTTGTTAGGGTTATTTGATAAAAAATACAGCTGTTCTTCGCTAGTTAATGTTAGCTTGGGTCTATTAAATAATATTAACAAACACATTTTATTTGTAATGTTTTTAGTAAATGTTGAAATAAACACTAAGTTTTGTAAATAGACTTTTTAATTGATGTTAACTGATGCAATCGTAACACTTTTACCAATATTACTTCAAACAAATTAAAACTAAATTCATAAGATAATTATCCCATAATAGGAAGCCTTTAAAGGAGTAGTTCACCTCAAAATGAAAATTTCCTGATAATTTACTCACCCCAATGCCATCCAAGACGATCATGTATTTCTTTCTTCAGTGGAAAAGAAATTAAGTTTTTTAAGGAAAACATTTTTAGGATTTTCAGTTTCTGGAAATTAATTTTTTTGAGGAAAACATTTCAGGATTTTCAGTTTCAGGAAATTAAGTTTTTTCAGGAAAACATTTCAGGATTCCCAAAACCATCGGGCATTTAAAAGAATAAATAAACATTTATATCGGCTACTTTTTAACCACAATTGTTCGTCTTGTGATGGTTGACAATGTTCGATTTAACACGATTTAAAAATGTCCTTTTTTTAATAATAATAATAATAATAATAATAATAAATTAAACAAAGATGTCGGATGATTTTGAAGTTGGAGGAGAAAACGGGAGAAAATGAGATGGCATTTTTCGCCCTTGCCTGCCCTTTTTGAACCGGAGTACACAGACAATTAATGCTTTTCTAACGTGATGATGTAATCCCTGGCGCGTCGTCGACCAGCACGAGTGAACAGTTGTGGTTAAAAAGTATATAAGTGTTTATTTTTTTAAATGCCTATTTTTTTTAAATGTTTATTTTTTAAATATTTTTTTAAATTTAAAAAAAAAAATACTTAAAAAAAAAAGTGTTTATTTTTTAAATGGCATTTGGGTGAGTAAATAATCAGGAAATTTTCATTTTGAGGTGAACTACTCCTTTATGAAGCGCCTGACAGAAATGCAGTGCGCTGTTTCAATGTGTGTTTCCACAGACCCGTCCAAGAAGGACGTCCCCGCCGAGGACATTGACATCGACATGGGCGCCCCCGAGACGGAGAAGGCTGCCGTCGCCATCCAATCGCAGTTCAGGAAGTTCCAGAAGAAGAAGCAGACGGTGAAATCATAATCGGGCTGGTCGGGGCGTCCCGGCCCGCGCCGCAGCAGGGGAGGGAGTTGCATGTCAGATAAACGGCACTGTTCTCTGGTGGGGTCATGGGGCAGATGAGAGGTCAACCCGACATCTGTCAGGAATAAAATGTGATATTTTGTTTCCCCCTAGTTAGTACATAGATTTTTTTAATAAAACTTCTCTTTCCTTTTAAGATGCTTTTGTTATTTTTTGATAAATTTTACTTGTCAAAGTGTTCGAAAACATCCATCCTAAAGTGTTAGTTAGTTTTCCCCTGTGTTTAAGATCAGAAAGCACAGGGATTTAATGCCAAACGATCCTGTACGGCATCTAAAACTGATTCGAACAGCCTTATTCGATCTTTCACCTCTGTTGTTGCTGTTTTGTTTGTATAGTAGAACTGATATTATTGTGTTTGTGATGCGTCATGATCATCTTAACCAAGTCAATGTTTCGTCAACAAACAGTGTTGTAATATTTGTGACACCAAACATATGTGAACTGAATAAAAATTAGGATTACTTCAACTATCGATTGATTGATTATTTCAACATATTATTAATACAATTTATGTTTTCTCCCAACACTGACTGTAACGAACAACGTTTTCCAACCATTAGCGCATACAATTTCACTGACGATTATATGGAAGCCTATTTCTGCCACATAGTGTTGAACTTGAGTTACATGATCAGATTATGTTTTAAAGTAAAAAGTAAAGTACCGCATTACTTTTAAAACTAACAACAAAATATTTTTCAAGTAATGAACACAAGTTACATTGTTTTCCTATTTATTGCCCTTCATTTGGTGTGAAGGGGCCTTCACACTCACCAAAAATACAACTTTTTCTTTTTGTTATTAAAAAACTAGCAAGAAAGCCCAAGAAAGAAAAGTAACAGAATTTGTTATTTTTTGAGAGAGTAAAGCAATATTGTAACACGCTACTTTTAAAAGTAACTCATCCCAACACTGCATAGTAACTCATAATTAATGACTTACAAAATTGAAATGTTGACAAACTAAATCAAAATTATGGCAAGTCAATTATGACATACTAAATCAAAATTGATATTAAGTCAAAATTATGACATGCTAAAACATAATTATGATAAAAGGTCATGACTTTGTTCTCTCTCATGTAGCTTTGGAAAGTCTGATTAGTCTTATTGAATCGGTTCTTTCGGACGGTTCTGAATGAATAGATCCTCAAATATTCAATGATTCGAGTACGTAGCATTTCAGCCATTTTTGAATCAGCATTTAGTCATATTTAGTGAAAATTCAGGAATTTGCTAAATTCTTTATGATTTCCATTCATAAAAATAAAAAAAATAGATGGACACAGATAGTGTGATTCGGTCTCCTGTTTCTTCTCTCGATTATACTTGGTGATCTCTCAGCTAATTAGAATGCTCATCGATTGGGTAATAATGAGGCACTTCTGTTTTGTGTGATGAATATACATTGGATCGCAATGTTAGTTTATTGATCTGTGAAAGTGATTCAATTAATCACTTTAATGAATTAGCACTCATTTAAAATAAAAAAAAAGCCCATCTCATCGACAACTTGCTAGCCACCACAATCTAATAAAATGCTGTATTTGATTATGGTGTCGTTTGTGAGTCACGAATCGGATGCTTCACAGCGGCTCAGAGAAAGCCCTCCTCATGGGTCTCATTACGGGATGTTTCTGTTCAGAACACATGCTGAGGTCGGACGGGTTCATTAGGTTTGCTCTGGGAGGGGGAGACACACTCTCATGTACCACGGAAAGAAAAGAAAACACTGAAGGATTCATTGTGATCCAACAGAAAACACCGAGATACAATTTGTATTGTTCACTTCCAAACTGAAAATATTGTGAGGAGCCTGTGGACACAATCCTGGATCAGTTTTGCTAAACTATTACATTTCTGAATATCCCACAAGGCAAAGTGCTTGACGTGATCATCGATTTCCAGTGTGGCTAATGAACAGGAAGTAATAGCCTTGATTTTACCTCGGTATGCAAAGCAGACTCTCATTTCACCTGCAACTATTTTATATACTGATAGTTCGAATGTGCAGTATACGACTGAATGAAACACTGTATCCCATAATGCAATGAGCTCAACTTGACCTTTTCCATTTTTAAAGGATATATTTAAATTCTGTCATCATTTACTCACACGCATGTTTTTTCAAACCTTGAACTTTATTAATCATCGAAGCACAAAACACTTTACAATAAGGTTCATTAGTTAACATTAGTTAATGTATTAACTAACATGAACTAACCATGAGCAATACATTTGTTACTGTATTTGTTCATCTTTGTTAACATTAGTTAATAAAAATACAGCTGTTCATTGTTTGTTCATGTTAGTTCACGGTGCATTAACTAATGTTAACAAGATTTAAATACAATATTAGTAAATGTTGAAATTACCATTAACAAAAGTCAATAAATGCTATATGTGCAGTTCATATTAACTAATGTAGTTAACTAATGGACCTTATTGTAAAGTGTTACCGATATTTTTAATAAAATCTGAGAGATTTCTGTCCTTATCGACAGCCCAGTGTCAACCCAGATCCGGCCCACACCTGAATGAATCCACATGACCCACCCAGATGTGGCCCGGATCTAGGCCACACTAAGTTGATGTCTGTGAGTCAGTTCACCCAAAATCCTGATTCTTCCAAACATTCATTTGCATTGCTTCGCTTCGCTTCAGAAGGACTTTATTAACACCCTGGCACCATATGGATTACTTTTATGATGGATGGATGCACTTTTTGGGGGGGTTCAAAGGTATCCTACCATTCACTCCCATTCTAAAGCTTGAATTTTAAAATATATACATATTTGGCTGAGAAAAGAAAGCCATATACACCTAGGATGGCTTGAGGGTGAGTAAATGATGGGATAATTAAAAATTTTGGGCAAACTATTCTTTTAATTTAGCATGCATTCTCAAGCGAGTAACTCTGCCCAGTTCTCTTGACTGTGATGGCAGCAGTGTTGTATTGACATCTGTGTTTGAGGGAGATCAGACTCCAGCACACTACAGATTTATTTATGACGGTTGTTAATATAATAACAGCTGAGCTGAGCGAGACCGTCTATAAACATGTGCCAGCGACGCTTAATTTGTGGCGCACTTCAGACGAAAATGGAAAAACGAAAACGTGTTCCGCCATTACCCACCGGGCTGACATAGCACTAAAAAACAATTTCTGTCCAAGTGCTCCAGGAAGAGCGGCTGTCTCCAGCTCGTCGCTGAAAGCCTCTGAATCGATACGGCATTTGAGGAGAGTTGCCCGCGCTCGTCTCTGAAGGCCGTGCGGGAATTCACTCTTCAAACGACGGACTGAGAGGTACGGCGGTCCCGCGGGGCTCAGCACTAGTGAAACGGCAAACAAAAGATCAAAACAATGCAGTTTAATTACGTAGGGTGACCACATTTTGATTACCAAAAACCAGGACACTCGGTCCAGCAAACACAAAATGATACTCGAAGTTTACTCAAAGATACCTTATTAATTTCAATACATTTAAAGTAGGTTATGCCTCCTCTGTATGGATAGAAAATTGTTGTATTGTTATATGAAAACAGGACATGTCCTGGGAAAACAGAACAGTTGGTCACCCTGAATTAAGTTACTTAAGTTAGAGTAAAGCCAGGAAGAGAATTAACATTGGAAGAGTGCAGTGACCAATATCTGCATTTAAAGATAATTCTTCCTGTATTGCAAACAATTTTCGTGTCGCTAATACAAAACTTTTGTGTTGTCATCACAAAAACGTTATTATTTCCATTCTGTTGTAATCAATTTGCGTCTTATTTCTGTTGCACTTCCATTGTGTTATGGACTATTTATGTTGTGGTTTAACCCATTCAGACCCTGTCCCTGTGTTCATTACAATGGACATCACATGTCAGCCCCCTTTTTTAACTTCTGGAGCATTTCACCTTAGTTTAAACTTTAAAGCATGCAATCCATGAGATTGGACGCTCTGCAAATTAAAGCTCTGCATGTAGCAATTATATATATATATATATATATATATATATATATATATATAATAACTCTACATTGAAGAGAAGCATGCATGGCAACACAGAAGCAAGCAACATTTTCTAAGGTGTATTTACATTTTGTATATATTTTTGCCAGTATTTCATAGTTTGTATGTAAAATAGAAAGACTGAACTTATTAATTAAAGTTAAAAATCGACTGTAGAATTGCACGTTTTAAATCAGGATTTTTGTAACCCTTTGGGGTACTTCGCCGTACAGTCACACAATGGGACCTTCACGGTCATACGTGACCTGACCCCTAAAAAAAAAAAAAAATTCAGTAAAACCAATGAAACTAATTTTTGTTCTATAATATTTTAATATTTTTTCTGTGGTGTTTTAGAGAATTCTATGAATATCATTAATATTTATGCAATAATTATAATCCATTTTTCCCATTGACGATAATAGAATTTTATATATATATAATTTTTATTATTTTTTAATTAATGCTGTATTTTAGGTTAAAGTAGAGTCTAGGTTCTTAGATAAAAAAAATTTCAAGCAGATTAGCGCCACCTGTTGGAAGTAGTGAGCATATTTATCATGCAATGTTACATTTTAACCACTAGATGGACTTACAGCTTTCTGTAGAAAGGATTGTAGATTGTAGTTGTTTTTGGACATTACTTTACTATTTTTTTCAGGTTGTGGGTAAGAGATTCTCAAAGACTATTTTTGTCAAGTTTTTTGTTTATTTGGTTGATTTAAAAAGTAATTAAATTGTAATTTGTTGTTTTAAATTGTTACTTTATAATAGAGTCAAACCTGAACATTGCATTAGAAAGAGAGCAAATGGAAAGCATTTTGCTACCCATTGTTTTACTTCTAACTTAATAAAAATGCAATTCTTTCAGTCAAACATTTTTATTAACCCTTTATAATAAACATTTTCAGTAAATTTATATATTTGTAAAAAAAATATATATATATATATATATTTTATTGAATGAACAGTGACATATTCAAAAGGCAACAGCAACTAAAGCAAACCAAAATAACAGCAAAATTATTTATCAAATAAAGTAGCCCAGAGGGTTTGTGTCTGTCCATTAGAATGGACAGTAGGTTTGAAAGCCTGTTACTGAAGTCACATTTTCAGTGATGCTGATTGAAATTTCTTTTATAAAAAAATATAGATATCACAGTACCAATACATTTTTGAAACTTTTTCATGTGCAGAATATACAGTTCTGAAGTGCTTGAACATAAAGCTGATGAAAATATCTCAGATGTTGACTTTATGTGGAGTAATGAGGAAGATGGAGATGTAAGAAAAATATCCATATTTAAAACTTTATAAAGTAAAATAACTTCCGGCCAAAAGAACATAAGGATTTGACTTAAATCTAAAGCGCAACTTAAATATGAATATTTTAAATATTTTATATTAATATATATTTTTTATGGATAGATGCACATTTATGATGGATAGATGCACTTTTATCATGGATAGATGCACTTTTATGGACTTTCAAAACAGAAACAACCATTTACAGCCAATATAAAGCTTGGAAGGGCCAGGACATTGTTTAATGTAACTCTGATTGTTTTCGTCTGAGAGAAGAATGTCAAATACAAGGATGGCTGACCAGGGTGATTAAATCCAGGGTGATCAGAATCCAGAGTTTCAAGAAGATCAGAGTAACTTTTTTTTTTTAAACGTATTAAAAATGAAGGCTGGTTTTGATTGAAGTATGTGATTTTGGCCGGCCGGTCCCTGGGAATGAGTTGTTTATGGATATGTGGATGTAAACAGGACTGCAGGAAGAGCATCCGGTCATTTCCCCGGTAGGCTACTCATTGTCTACATACATATGAATTCTACATTATTGTTATATATAGATGTACAAAGGGTTGGGGTCAGCAGAATTGTAAGACATTAATACTTTTATTCAGTAAAGATGCATATATTTTTTTCTAACTAGAGAGTAAAGATTGTTGGGACAAACTTTTACAATATGTTGGCTTGACAAAAGTTTTTTAAACTTAGCATGTGTCTAGCATTATTTTACATGTTTACAACATTTTTTTTTAATTCAACTTTTACAAAAGCTTATAATGACATTTTGCAACAAAAATAAGACAAACACATAATGGGGAAAACGCATAACAGTTCTTACATTGTACAGAGTAAAACATTAAATTCTGCAAACTATTTTTTCCAAAATTTGAGATGTTTTTATGCACTTCTTATTTACATATTTACAACATGTCTGTAGCAGGTTTTAAAACATAGCTTGCATAAATTAGCCTGTTTCAAGCCTTTTTACTAGCATTGGCACATTGCTAGCATGTCTTACCAAAATACTGGCCTGTTCACACATGGTTTGGTCGATCGGATCACAAGTGGACAATGCAAATGCAGTCTAAAAAAGTTTGAGCTTGCCACTTTCAACCACTTTCGCATTTATCTAGACTGAAATAACTCTCTCGCTTTCTCTTTTGTTCACGGCAGTTAATCAGTGATGTCAGTGTGGGTTAAACCTCAAGCTATGCAAACACCATTAAAGGGATACTCCACTTTTTTTTGGAAATAGGCTCATTTTAAAACTCCCCCAGAGTTAAACAGTTGAGTTTTACCGTTTTTGAATCCATTCAGACGATTTTTTTGATATTTAGAAGAATATCAGTAACCTGACAGTTTCTGGTCTCATTGACTTCCATAGTAGGAAAAAAATATACTATGGAATTCAATGAGACCAGAAACTGTCTGGTTACTGATATATTCTTCTAAATATCAGAAAATCAGCTGAATGGATTCAAAAACGGTAATGGGGGAGTGGTAAAATGAGCCTATTTCCCAAAAAAAAAGTGGAGTATCCCTTTAAGCAGCAAATCAGAAAAGCAACCCTGACAACTGCATTCTTTCAACATCCCGAGGCCGAGGAATGCCATCGCCCTCAGCCGTGTTTTCACTGATCTTTACTAGTAAGAGGCCTGGAGGTGTATACTTTGAAAGCTGTGCTGTTAATGGTTTGTATCTTTGAACAGTGTCATGTTAGATGTTAATGAGGAACAGCCCGTTCAGCCCACATGACGCTAATGAGACCCGTTTCATGATGACGTATTTAACGTCGCAAACTGCGATGAGCAATCAAAATCGAATTCTTTCATTTGCTAATCAAAATATGTAACTTTTTTGTTCAAAATTAACCAAATTAAAATAACGAGTCAGTAGATCATGAATCGTTTTTCCAAAATGGGGTTTTGTCTTACCCTGATTCACTATTAGCTATATTTGTTTATATTTTGGTATCATCGGGATGGTTTTCGTGGAAAATTGTGTTAATTCGTCACTCGCCTTTGTGTATCTCATGTCCAAAATAGAGAATGAATAATTAAAGAGAAAAGTTGCTCTGGCTACTTTGACGCTTGTACATTTTGCTAATATGTTTTTTTATGCATGAATTTGCATGTTGCAAGCATTTTTCACATGTTACTAGGATGACTTACCAAAACACCGTTACATGTTGCTAGCATGTTTTAACACATTGCTAGTATGTTTTAACATGTTGTTGTTAGTATGTTTTAGCATGTTGTTAGAATATTGTTAGGTTGAATTATCTTGCTTCTAGAAAGATTTAATTGCTAGCATTAAATAACTTGTTGCTAGCATGAATTAGCATATTGCTAGCATGGTTTTCATGTATCATATTCGTAAATAGAGAGCAATAAAATGTTCCTCGTGTTTGTACAGGATGATTCCTGTTGCTGCTTTATAAAGAAGAAGATACACAATGTATTAGTTTGACGCATAAAGAGCATTTTAAAATATGTGTTGTCTTAAATGGGGACAAATGGGAACTATAAAGCTGCACACCCAAAGTGAGATAAAATCTGTCTGCAGGCCGAGACACGACCCACTACAAACGTGGCACACAGAAGAGACAGACGGGTGGGGGTGGAAGAGGAATAACCATTCGTCTTAACCTTACTAGTCTTTTTGCAGTTACTTTTATAATACAAATGTTTAACTCTACTATTAAATACAAATACACACACCTATACTGCCAGATTTTAGACTAAAAATCACTTTTTGCTTCTTGCTAGAATAAGATGTCCACATTTCTGTATTGCATCCACCGCTTTTTTTTATATTCAACATTTTCCCAGCAGTTTCTTCTTTTATAGTCATTGTGGGCAGGAAAGGGGTCAGTTCACTCAGTTCCTGCTGCCTTTAGGACCTTGAGGGGAGAGTCCAGTTCCCACAGTAACTAGATCTGTGGGAGGTCTCACAGAACACGGGATCCATTATAATACTCCTTTCCCAAATTCCAGAAGCTTCTTTTCCAGACTATAAAGTCTGCATGAAGGATTTGATGTCAGGGGAAGCCAACGGATCCGAGAGGTTGCAAAAGACAAAAGGTGAGTAACAGATGCCATTACAGCTCTGAAAACATGTTGCATTCAGGCTTCATCATCAGCATGAACATTTAAAAATGTGCTAAAAAGTCAAAATGTTGAAAATGTAAAGTGTTTGCAAGAGATGTTGATAGTTTTACTCAAAGATAAGTGTTTGTGTGATGTTGATTTTAAAGGCTTTTTGCGTATGCAACAGTCCAAAATTGCTCCTTCAAGCTCTGACTCGCCCATATGGGCGTAATGAAAGTGTGTTTTGGTGCGTTTGCATGGCCGAAGGCAACATTTTGGGCTGTTAATGCGGTAGAAGGGTGAGGAAAAGCTTCACAAACTATAACATGTCTGAAGTCTGATGTTCCCACACTAGTGCAACTTCCTGCCATCCTGGCATTCCTGATTGGATAACGGTCATCCAGTGTAAGATGACTCCTGGAGCCGTGCAATCTGAATATGTGGCTGTTACAGCTTTTTCTCCAATCAATATATATATATATATATATATATATTTGCATCTTGGAGAAATGTGATGCTATACATGACCGTTCAAAAGGTTTTTATTTTTTTATTTTTAGAAAGGATGCATTTAATTGATAAAAAGTGTCAGTAAAGACATTTAAATCGTTACAAAAGATTAATATATGTATAAAAAATTCAATATTAAGCAACACAACTGTTTTCAACATTGTTCATAATAACATAAAAACATTCGTATCGATATCGTGTTTCCCAAGGAATATTTCTCATTTATTAGCAAAAACGTGCTGTGATGAATGATCTCAGATCTGAGGTTCACTGTTTACGTGGCATTATGTAACATATCTGCCTGGACTTCCTTTAGCATTACAGGCCTGTCATTAAACTTGCAGCTTGAAAGTACAGCACTGTCCTCATTTCTGTGGTCAGGAACTAAAACTTTCCACAGACATATAGAAAATCATCTCATATCTCAGACTGTTCTCATGAAATGGCGTATGTATGACACGACAATTCGTATTTTCATTTTTGACGTGCTTTCAACATCGCTTTTCAGCGCTTTTATATGTTTACGGAAAAGTCATGATGCCATGTTGCATGTCTATGTAAAATGAGCGTTGCAACTAGAGCCCGACGGATAAATGATATAAATATTTTTGGGTTTTAAAATCCGATATATCGGCCGATATATTTTTTTTATTTTTTCTCAGAAACGTGCAACAAAACATTAACAGATTTCCCTAACATTGTTATTTGTAGTTATTTATGAGTTTTAACTAAAATAATATGATAAAGCATTTTAAAAAGAAACCTGTTTCTTTTATTGTCACAAAAGAATGAGGAACATCAAAATATATAAAAGTTCTGATAAATAAAATAAATATATATATAAATAAATCATTACTTTATTTAGGCATAAAAAGTTAATTGTGGTTTCCAAGCTCATTAATGTTAACGTTAGCGGTCTTCCACTGACGATAGTGGCATTAGCTAGCTTTGTGGTTAGCTAGTCTATGATGAGTGTCATGGATAACGTCATACTGCAAATTGTAAAACATACATTTTCAATATAACAAGCCAAGGAGAGATGATTGAAGCGTGTTTCGTCCATTTTGATTTTTTAAAATATTCATTTATCGGCCATTATGACTACCGATATTTTGGAAAATGCCTAATATCGGCCGATAATATCGGTCTGGCTCTACAACCTACTGATTTGTTTGTTACCCTTACAGGCTGTAAAGGTCCCACCTCTAAAATCATGTTGGTGTCGAGCGTGGTTGTCTTGTGCCTATTGGGCAGCGTGAGCGCAGACAAGCCCCTCAGCAGCCATGCCACCATGTTGGCAGACAACAGTGCCAATTTGGCCTTCAACCTGTACCAGAACATGGCCAAGGAGAAGGACGTCGAGAACATCCTGATTTCGCCCGTGGTAGTGGCCTCCTCGCTGGGTTTGGTGGCTCTGGGAGGGAAATCCAACACCGCTTCTCAGGTCAAAACCGTCCTGAGCGCCACCGCGGTGAAGGACGAGCTGCTCCACTCCGGCCTGTCGGAGCTTCTCACCGAGGTCAGCAACTCCACGGCGCGTAACGTCACCTGGAAGATCAGCAACCGTTTCTACGGGCCCAGCTCTGTCAGCTTCGTCGACGGCTTTCTGAAGAGCAGCCGGAAGCATTACAACTACGACCACTCCAAGATAAACTTCCGTGACAAGCGCAGCGCGGTCAAAGCCATCAACGACTGGGCCTCGAAGTCCACCGACGGAAAGCTGCCTGAAGTGACCAAAGATGTGGAGAAGACGGACGGAGCCATGATCATCAACGCCATGTTTTATAAACGTAAGACTTGAGAATGAGAAGCAATTTGTAGATTCTTTAAAAAACTAAAATGAGACTCTGTTTCTGTCTCCAGCACACTGGGATGAGCAGTTCCATCATAAGATGGTGGACAATCGTGGTTTCTTAGTGCATCGCTCCTTCACCGTCTCCGTACCCATGATGCATCGCACAGGTGAGGTCATGAGCAGAGATGATCCCTACATTACGGAGGATTTTTCAGATACAGTTTTTGTCACGGTGCGCTTTTAGTCAATATTTAGTCCTGTCTTGCAGTCAATAAAATCGCATGTAATTTGTCCAAAAAAAAGTGCAGAATTAAACCTTTTTTTCAATATTTTAAAGTGTAATAATAAATTTATATTTAGATAAATTAAAATATATCAAGATTTAATGTTAATATATCTGTTTTTGTGTTTTGACGAATATTCTTTAGATTTAGTTAATATTTTGTCATGTCATATTGTTTTAGTCAATTTAGTTAGTCAATGAAAATAACATTAATTAAATATGATATATTTAAAATATATCAATTTTTAATATTTTTAAATAGTGTATATTTAAATATAATACATAACATTTTGAATATATAGTTTAAAACACTTTTGTTAAATGGGATACTATAGAAAAAAATTGACTAAAATATCCCTTAACTTTATTCAATATTTCATCATGTCATATTCTTTCACTTTGGACTGAATATTAAATATGTCATACTGTATTAACTGAATATTTTTTTCAGTTAAGTCACTAAAAAAAAATATTTTTTTGGTTTACAATTAAAAAAAAAAAAAATATATATATATATATATATATATATATATATATACCACCATTTTGTTATAGATATATCTTTTTATAATATATAAAATATTATATAAAAAAATATAAAAAAAAAAACTGTTTGTCAGTAAGATTAAAACTGTTTTCAACCTTTATTTATTTATTTATTAATTAATTTATTTTCTTTTTCTCGCTTGTTACTCTATTTTATTTTATTTTTAAAAGCCTCCCGTGGACAGGTGTTGAAAATTAGCATGTATGCTATAATCACTAAAAACAAATGTCCAATGTAATTGTATGTCCATGTCAAATAAAGATATAAATAAATAATAGTTTACATCCATAACTGGCACGATTGCGTTTTATACATTTGTTTATGCTGTCTTTCAGGCATTTATGGCTTCTTTGACGACACAAGCAACAAGCTTTTAGTTCTGAACATGCCGCTGGCCCATAAGATGTCATCTGTGGTGTTCATCATGCCGTACCACGTAGAAGCCCTGGAAAGAGTGGAGAAACTGTTAACACGGCAACAACTGGACACCTGGATGGGTAAGATGGAGCAGAGGGCGGTTGCGGTGTCGCTGCCAAAGGTCAGCATGGAGGTCAGCCACAACCTGCAGGTACGAACAGTCTGCAATTTCAGCAAGTGTTTGTGTTTGTTATAAACTCACCTGTGAATTCAGTTCCGCTGTCTTGCAGAAAAATCTTGCTGAGCTGGGTCTGACCGAGGCTGTGGACAAAGCCAAAGCAGATCTGTCCAACATCTCAGGGAAGAAAGACCTCTACCTGTCCAACGTGTTCCACGCGTCCGCCATGGAGTGGGACACCGAGGGAAATCCACCCGACGCGAGCATCTTCGGGACCGACAAGCTCAAAAACCCCAAACTCTTCTACGCTGACCATCCCTTCGTCTTCCTGGTGAAGGACAACAAGACAAACTCCATCCTTTTCATGGGCAGACTGGTCCGACCGAAGGGTGAAAAAATGAGGGATGAATTGTAGGATGTTAATTTAAATGTGAGTGTGTGTGTGTGAGCAGATTTGTGAATGTGTGTAAATGGTACACTTGAGTTCGTTCCATTAGATCAGTGGACCAGCATGTGCTATCCGTTGCGTTTACATTGAAAATTGAGTTTTAGGTGCCACGTAATGTTTTATGTTATAAACTAAGTTTATAAACATAAAACATAGGTTTCTGAGAAGTGCAGCATGCTTATATTAAGTATGATCTCTATAAAATTAGCTTTAAATCCACACGAACAGCATTTTTGCTCAGGGGGTTCTCTTTTTTTATTTGCATTTCGCCGGCTTGAGCGAAGATCTCACCGTGCCGAGTGTTTGATATCCGAAAAAGTCCACTCCAGTCCATGCTGTAACATTCCTCTCAGAAGTGCACACTTGTGTCTGCACTGAATACTGAGTCCACGTCTGTACCAGGTTGCAGATTGTATTCACATTGTACCAAAACACGGATGTCTGAAAAGTTGGATTGTTCCTTGATTTTTCAATAAAACCAGCATCACGGAGAACATGTGTGGGTGTTTATGTGTGCTGGACTTCTTTTTAAGGTCCAAAAATGCATAGCTATACTGCTGAAGTATACAGTGTATGCAGATTTTAGTGGCATTTGACAAAATATAAAGTATATAATAGAGCTTACTTGTGTTGAATACTACAGATATATCCCATAATGCATTGTGCTTGACCTGACTTTTAATTGCCTGTGTGATGAATGAATTAGAAATAATGGCTGCATCCAAAATCGCACACTTACCTACTATATAGTTGGCTGTCATTTTTTAGACAAAATTTAATTAAAAATAAAACCTAGTTTTTTTCTAAGTTCCTTCATCAATAATGTGGAGACACTGACTTTCCAAGCATGTGAACTATGTTATCTGATCAGATGAGAATGTGTTCAACTGTGACGGTTTAACCTTCAACCCACAAAAAAATAATACATCATGATGAAAAATTGTATTGTGGGTAAAATAAAATAAAAATATTTTTCAGGAAAAACAGCTAAATAAGCCAATCCCAATATTCAAGGGAAAATAGCAACAACAACAAAATATTTCTAATAAAAATATTGGCAACCGTTTACAATAAGGTCCCATTAGTTAACATTATCAACTAACTAACAATAACCAATCTGTTACAGTACACATTCATCTTCGTTAGGCTTAGTTCAATGTTAGCTTAGGTTCATTAAATAACACTAACAGGGTTTCTTTCTTCTTTTGAACACAAAAGAAGATATTTTAAGGAATGTTAACCAGACAGTTGACGGTAGCCATTGTTTGCACAATAGGAAAACATCTGTGGAAGACATTTTCATTTTCGGGTGAACTATACCTTTATTTTTCATTATACACCAAGTCGCCAACACAAATGATATGGATATAATCCGTAAGAGATTATGAACACAATCATATATACACATTACAATTAATCAAAGTATAATGCACACGAACTATTGATATCTTAAGCTAATACAATATGTGTGCGCAGTGCATTTTGAGCGTATAGACTAGACTAGAGCTGTAGAACAACGATCACTTCGCTGTATTGAGTTTCAGAAGGCCATTGTTTGCATTGCAACTGTTATCGCACGTAGGCCGTTCCAGATTGGATGGAGCACTGAATCCGTTACCGTACAAGCAACTCCTCCCTCCGCCCGTCCGAACTTAGCCGATTTCTGTCTCATCATGGCTCCGGCGGCGGACAGGCCGGGCTACTGGGGAACACCGACCTCAACTCTCGACTGGTGCGAGGAGAATTATGTGGTCTCGTATTACATCGCAGAATTCTGTAAGTACGTTTTAACGGTGAGCTAGTGTTAGGGACAAACGATTCATGGTCGTGTAAACACGGATGTTAAAACGGTTGAGACGAGTATGTTGAATCCTACTATGAGAAGGCGGCATACTAAATATTGATGAGGTAAGCATCCGCTATTGGACGCTTACGACGCATCATCAGCATGGCCTAATTAATATTGATGAGTCACCTTTTTTCATTGGGAGGTTTTGAAGCAACGTCAAAACGACGTAATTGATATTAAAAAGCCAAGCCTTGTTCATAGCGAAGTTATAAACAACGTCAGCGTGACCTATTTAAAATTCATAAGCATTTAACTGCCATAGTAGGATTCGTAATTTAGCAGCCGAGGCCATCTGCGACCCTCAGTCCGCTTTGAACTCCTATAACACATCATACAAATGACCGGAAAGACAATGAATGAAAACCTGACGTTCGTTTGTGGCGGCATTTGACGCAATGCACGAGCCGTCGATACTGATTTTCAGTGAAATCAAGACTATGTATGAACAACAGAAAACATACTTTATTTCCCTCCATGTTGATGTTTTCTAATGCTAAAGGTTCTTAAATTTTGCTTTAATTATTAACTGACTTAAGTATTGCCTCAGTATTAGCTGTGTAGTTATAAGGACTAATAGTGTAACTTTTACTGTAAATATGAATGAGTGGGATATTTTTTTTTGTCACTGCTGTAATAAAAACAACATTAAAACCAGCCTAAGATGATTTGCCAGCCAGATCAGGTGAACAATATCCATTTATGTGCCATTTATTACCATCAGTATTTTTTGTAAGAATAATACCATCATTTGCATATTTCCAAACAAGTCAAGCTAATAAACCATTACTTTTACCGTGGAGATTTAAATGGAGAAGTTCTACCTAGGTTTCTGTGATTGCTTTATTTTATGTGAACTTTTTTATTGTGAGCTTGACGGCTGATTATCCCAGATATAAAAGTATGGAAGGACACAATCTGCATAGCCATTTGTACATTTCAGGTCACATTGATAAGATGCTCAAAGGGCACAGAGTGACAGTTAACACACTAATATTAATAGAGCTTAAATTCCCTCTGCAATTCCCTATGGGTTTTTTTTAGCATTTTTTGAGTATTTGAGTTATATTTTGCAATGTACATTACACACAGTCATATCTTAAATATAAGTTTTAAAAACTGCTGAACCATCAGAAATTCTGATGGCATTGAGGTCAGAGGGGTTCAGTGTAAACCTGTTGCCTTATGAAGGAATGTGCCATGTTCAGTATGGCCAGCTGTAGTGTATATCCAAACAATGAAACCATAGGCCTGTTAGTTCATTCTAAGAGGCCAGTTTAGATGAAGTTCACTCAACTTTTGTTCAGCTTTGCTGCTGTTTTAGCTTTTATTGTTTATAGAGTATCTCAAATACGGCCTAAAGTCAGCATGAAATGGAAGTTGTGATAGTCTTTTCTTTCCTATTGTGATGTATATCCAAGTGAAATGTCTTCTCAAACAAGAAAAAATGTAAGGCAGGATATGATTTTGTCTATCGGAATTGATTGGATGGTGGTTTGCTATTGGTGGATCTCATGTCAGTGACAGGTTGCCCCTCACGTCAGTAAACATGTTGTCCGTCCATGTTGTGTTTCCTGTATCCTGCCTGATTTCGGTTTAGTTTTCCCCCATGAGGGAGTTTTTGTTGTTTTTGTTTTGTGTTACTTACTTAACCCTCTGGGGTTGTTCGTTTCAGAGTCACACTCGGGGTGTTCGGGTCCAAATGGACCCAAAGGGCGGGATTCATATTTAAAAAAAAAAAAAAAATCATGATTTTTTTTTTACTCGGTTTTTAATAATATTTTTTCTTTTCTTTTTTGGTGTTTTGAGAAAATTCCAAAAATAAAAAAAAATTATAATTAGTATTAATGCAATAATTATGACAAAATGTCCCCCCATTGAACATAATAGAAAAAATATTTAATTTTTTTTTTTATTTATTTTTATTTTTTTTAAAGCTGTATTTCATTTTAGGGTCAAGCCTAGGCCTCATAAAAGCAATTTTTGAAATGAGATGGATGCCATCTGGTGGACAAACTGAGCATTTTAAAAATGCAAAACACATGTATAATCTGAATTTTTTGGTGTGTTTGTGTATAAAAGTGTGTGTGTGTCTGGATGTGTCTGTTTTGCACTCTTGATGTTTTATAGATTCACCCCTTCACTGTTTTGTGCTTTTTTTTCAAGATCGTGGCTGATTTGTAGATTGTACGCACAAAAAAACTCAGTATTTTCACATTTTTGCCAATTTCCCATTCATTTTCCATGCGGGTCCATTTGGACCCGAACACCCAAGTGTGACTATTTTTTTTACAACCACTTAGACTATTCACATCCTGTCCCCAATTTTTATGGGTGTTCAAATACCAAATACCAACAAAGTCACCAAATTTCAGACCATTCTGAGGAAGCTGTGATTTAAAAAAAAAAAATTAAATTCTTCGGGTCCATTTGGGTCGAACAACCCCAGAGGGTTAATAAATATACTCATTGTTTTGCACTTGAGTCCTCATGAAAACGTTGTTTTGCTTTCTCCAGGGAATACCGTCAGTAACCTGATAATGATCCTACCTCCCATTTACGGAGCCATTCGGACGTGTAAAGATGGTTTGGAAGTGCGCTATGTGTGCTCATTTTTAGGACTCGCTGGTACGATGCATCATTCACATTATTTTTTAAACACAAATCTCTTTTTTTTTCCGAAAGCAGTGACCTTTCCCACTGATATGTATTTCCAAAATGTTCTGTTTTTGGCACAGCCGTAGGCATTGGCTCATGGAGCTTTCACATGACTCTACAGTATGAAATGCAGGTAAGCTTGACTTCTCTTTTGGCTTCTCAAAGTGTGCATCTTGTTCTCAAGCACGCATTCATTCTCATAGCCACAAAGCAATAGCAATAACACACAAGTGGCTGGATTGTCTTTTGTTTCTAGTTACTGGACGAGCTGCCGATGATCTACAGCTGCTGCGTCTTTGTCTACTGTCTGTAAGTTGACCTTCAAAGTCACGCCGTCTGCTTTCACCTTTGACCTCTGAATGCTTGTCTTGAGCTTAATGAGGATAAGAATGTTTTTATCATTAAGCTTTTGAATTTGAAAGAAGTCTTTTATGCTCACCAAGGCTGCATTTATTATAGTAGGAACAGTAATATTGTGAAATATTATTTAAACTTAAAATAGCTTACTGACTGTGTATGATTGTTGCTCATTTATTGTGGATGCTTTTCCTCTGACTTTATCTAAATATGTGTCAGATACGAGTGCTTCAAGCAAGAGCGCGCTGTTAACTATTCCTCAATTACACTTTTGCTGACCTTCAGTATTATTGTTAGTGTGGTGAGTTTTCTTTGCTCTTATAAATTGTAAAACACATACAGTAATATGCAGTCAAAACATTCCACTATTGTTTTATTTTAAGTACAAACTTTTTAATTCTAGGTTTACCTGATATGGAAAGAGCCTGTCTTTCACCAGGTGAGGCCCGAACCTCTTTAGTTTGGTTTGTCCTACTTTTGTTGTGTCAAAACAACTGCGGTCCGTGTGTGTGTGTGTGTGTGTTGTCCGTTTCTGTTGTTAAGGGCATGGCAGTTAAGGTAGGTGTGTCTCTATTCATGCTCGGGGTGTTGAATGGTTCATGAGCTTCGGTAAACACACACTGTTGTGATGTCTTTTGTTTAAAACTGCATTTAAATCACCATTTAAACAATCATATTGTTTACATATCAGATGCTGATGTTAAATATCCAGCGGTTTGATCATTTCCCCCAGGTCATGTATGCCGTACTAGTGGCTTTCTTGGTGATTCGCTCAGTTTTCATAGTCACATGGTGAGTAAATGAATCCTTATTTGCCCAGTTCGTACAATTTTTTTAATGGATTATACATTTTTTCCACCCAATTTCCTGGTATCCTTGGTTCAAAGTATTTTCAGATTATTTTTTCTTATACACTGTGAAAAAATATTGATGGTTTAACTTAAAAAAGTAAGTAACCTGTTTGCCTTAAAAAATTTAAGTTCAAGTGAGTTAATACAATGAAGGAGATTAATTTAATTTAATTTATCAGAAACTCAAAATTATATGTTATCTGAACTAAATAAATTATTTAAGTTGATTTCCCAAAAGAAAAAATGTTGTGATTACTACACTGTAAAAAAAAATATTGTTGGTTTAACTTAAAGAAGTAAGTAACCTGGTTGCCTTAAAATTTTAAGTTGATTGAACTGGAAAAAGTGAGTTAATACAATGAAACTGAAGAAACTCAAAATAATAAGTTATCTCAACTAAATAAATTATTATAAAGTTGATTTGACAAAAGAAAATATGTTGTGATAACAAATCTTGAAAGTCTTTGGTAAAGCAATAAAAGCCAGCCAGCTATGGTCAATCAAAAGTACAAGACTGTGTACTTAATGGCTTTAATATGGGAAAGAACTACAATCCCATGAGGCATTGAGAATAATACAATCCAATTAGAAACAACAGATAAATATAAAGCTTTTGATTTAAAGATGTTGGTTATGTATAGATAGAATATGTTTGTTTATTGCAAAATATGCTTATCTATATATACACAAATATTTCAGTAGTATCAATATATTATTGTATTTCAGAAATAGTAAGAGTACAGGAATTCTGCTGAAAAGCACGATTATTTAAGAAATAAGTTGAAATAATGCAGGCCGATGGGTTCAACAAAAGCATATACCATTGATATATCACAGCAGGTCTGTCTAAGTAAGCGATTGTTCAAAATTATTTCCTCTATGGAGAAAACAAATGGAATTTTTTCCACCCAGAACCCGAAAGTTACGAAAGTTCATAGCACAATAGAGCCAGACTTGAATTAAAAAATTTGAAATTTGAAATTTATTTGAAGGATAGATGTAACATCTCGTTTTCGAGGGGGTCCTAAGAACAAACATAAATACAAACAGCATTTAGCATTATGTCACATAATATTACACAATCACATTCTTACAAACATTTACAAACATTTAGCTCTCCATAACTATCTCTTCACATACAAGACTTCTAAGTACATTAATACAATAAGTATGCAGTTATCACACATAACATGCATTATGAAAATAATGAAGTCCACGTGATAATTGAAAATAGTTATACTCAAAAGCAGGAGCATGTGTTCCGCAAATAATCTTAAAAAACTTAAACAAAGTAGTGGATCTAATTCAAGTCTGCTAAAACATTGTCTGTGTTAAGGTGTGATTCATGTGTATTAAGGAAGTAAACACTTTTCTAACATTGCAGGGTCTATCCGTGGCTCAGAGCCCTCGGCTTTACGTCATTAACCGTCTTCCTGTTGGGATTCGTATTATGGAACATCGATAATTTCATGTGTGACTCTCTAAGGTAGTTCTATTTCCATTCCATTTTTACATTTAGCATATTCATTTTCATAAACAAAAATAACATCTTAATTTACGAGAAAAGCTAAATCAAAATAAATATTGAATATATTTTATTGATTAAAAAATATGTATAAAATAAATACAAAAAATCTAAGTCAGTTTTACTCTGACTGAAATAGAATGAACAGAAATAAGTTTATTTGTCATGTTTGATTCAGAGCCGCACGGCAGCGTCTGCCTCCTGTGTTCGGGGCGGTTACGCAGCTTCACGCCTGGTGGCACATCCTAACAGGCCTGGGCTCATATCTGCACATACTCCTCAGGTACGTCTCTGTGGACAAAAATATGTTGTTTGAATTTGAATTTTATTATTATTATTTTTTTGCCATAGCCTACAGATTCGGTCAACCTACCTCAAGCACAGACCAAAAGTGAGGTTTTTATGTGGCGTTTGGCCGATGCTGCACATTGAATCTCAGAAGGCGAGTTGAAAGGGACCTGAGAAGAGGAAGATGGACCAATCACAGACCTCAGACAGAAAGAGGTCCAGCCAATGAGCTTCAGCGGCAACAGGAAGTGACCGGCGGCTGACGGTTTGGTTCCCCTTCCGACTCCGTTTGCCAAGTGCATTACTGAGAAAACTGCCAAACGAAGGAAACATGTTGTCTTTATTATAGGTTAGATGAGAGTTTTGTAGGGGTCTTGTGATTTTGCACGTCATTTTCCTATAAATCGGAAGCAGCCAAAACTAGGATTCTGTTCTGGTTAGTATTTCTGCCTTCATGAGGGAAAATAATATGGCTTTGATGGATCATATCTGGTCAGTTTGACAGTTTTCATATTTTGTACTTGAACTTAATTGAACTAGCTTGAGATTATGCAAAAATTTCACTTATCTCGACACTTTTAGAGATCGTGAAGGTCAAATTAAACAGATCAGAAAAATAAACGAGTGTTGATAAGGAAGATCTTCGTCCTTAAGAATTATTGAGGCGTTTAGGGATGAGATACATGCACATTTGACGGTAATAAGGTCATTTTACTGTTTCAGAGATACAGTAGCATGTTACATAATTGTGTCCATGTCACACATATAAATGCATATTTATAATATTTGTAATTAACAATAGTCATAAGCTGCTCTGCAAAACAAATTGAGTCTGAGTGTTTGTGTATAAACCTGAACCAGTTTGCCCTTTAAACATTTCAAGGCCCTCATGTGACCAATATGCAATCAAATGGATTTAATTTATTACATTTTTGGTAAAAGGGTGTGTTAATGTGAACAGTTTATGAAGGACTTATCATGCATGCTTATTAACATTGAGCTGATGCATTATTACTTAACTGCTGTTATTTATCATTAGCAAATGAATGTCTCATAAACTAGATTATATTCTCATCTCCAACACTGACTACTTGAAATGCCACTAGTCATGCTGGCTGTCAACAAAAACAGTAAAGGGTGGTTACGAATGAAGTCATATACTATTATTGATTCATCATTTGTTTATGTATTGTGCCAAGTTAATGGTTCCATAAGAACTCAATCATCTGTAAAGCACAGTTGACTAAAATAAATCGTATTTAATCCGATGAGACGAACACGCACATGTTTCAGATATTAAAGCGCTGCTGTTGGTTTGGACTCATGTTTGGACCACTAAGGATGCCTTAGATTAAACTGTGGTTTATTCCTTGTTGCCTTGATGTCCATTATATTAAATAATTATGAAGTACATATTCCATTACATAAAATGATTCAAACAAAAACAAAGATGTCAACATTTTTGCTGAATACAAATGAACAATCAACAGCAAAATTACTGCCACTATCCCAGTTTAGTGCTTAAATCCACTGATAATAGTGGACCTCTAATCTTGCTTATGACTGAAATGTTGAGTTATAATATGGAATATTGTAGCTGACCTTCCTAGCATTGTCTTGTAAAGCCTGTGTAATGATTTAAGTGTGTATTTTGTGATTTTTTTGTGCCTCATTAAAATCTATGTTGCCAAAACTAATAATGTAACTAATTAAAAACTAATTAAAAACTAATTAAATAATGTTAATGTTGTTGTTTTTTGCATCCAATCATACAGCACTGATGTATTGATAGCATCTAAAACGTAAAAGTATTTATGTATAGCTACATAAACACAGTAAAAAAAAAAAAAAAAAAACGTAACTTTTAAAAAATATCAATAAAAAAATATTTCCATAGTAGCATTTTAACCATAGTAGACTGGTGGTTAAATACATAGACAGTAAAATAATTGTTAAAAATGAATACCAATGTATGAGTTCCAGTTGGAATGGTAAAATTAGCACCTGAAATGTACATATTAGCATTTAAATGTACATATTAGCACCTAAAATGTACATATTAGCACTTGAAATGTACATATTTAGCACCTGAAACGTACATATTAGCACCTAAAATGAACATATTTAGGACCTGAAATGTACATATTATCACCTGAAATTTACATATTAGCACCTGAAATGTGCATATTAACACCTAAAATGTACATAGGCCTATTAGCACCTGAAATGTACATATTAGCACCTGAAATTTACATATTAGCACCTAAAATGTACATATTAGCATCTAAAATGTACATATTGGTACCTAAAATGTACATATTAGCACCTGAAATGAACATATTAGCACCTGAAATGAACATATTAGCATCTAAAATGAACATATTAGCATCTAAAATGTACATATTAGCACCTGAAATGAACATATTAGCACCTGAAATGTACATATTAGCATCTAAAATGTCCATATTAGCACCTAAAATGTATATATAATCACCTGAAATGTAGGCTACATATTAGCACCTGAAATGTACATATTAGCACCTAAAATCGACAAAAGTTTTCCCTTTGAAAATGTACAGCCCCAGTGACAGCTTTTGTACCTCCTGAGAGTGTATCTGCATATACAAATGGGGGAAACGTTTAACTTTTCACCACTTTTAGACTTTTGTTCAGGTCACTTCAATAGAGCGTGCCGTGCATAATAAATAAAAAGGAATTGTGATTTAAAAATAAATTTATGGTTTAAAATTATGCCTAATAACATGTCATACTGCTGTAAAGTGTCATGCCAGTTATCGGGTAGGCTTATATTTTGAAGACCAATCCTGATGATGTCAATGGGTTTTCCCATCCTCCATCATCTCACTATATTTGCTTTTATCATTGGCTGCAGATCATTGTTGTAACCAGCAGAGGGCAGATCTGCAGGTGTGACGAATTAAGGTCTTTACCTATGTCTTTACAGAGAAAAGCTATCAGTCAGGGTGTGGGCTATAGGTTTCTGTTTTGGCCCATTATTGGCTATCCCTGTCTCCACACTATTGACACGTACACCTGTGCAGCTGTCTTTGAGTCATATATCAGACAGAGATGTCATTGAGTCATATCCTGGCCTGGAAAACAAGCATGTTGGAGCCTCTGGAGTCGGAGGTAAACGGGGGAATTCTCCACGGCGTCAGAGATGTCAGGTGAAAGCTCCTCTTCAGTTCATTACATGCAAAGACTGACTTTGTTCCATGGCTTCTGGCTGTATCAAAATGAAAAACCCATTGACATCATCAGGATTTGTCTTCAAAATATAAGCCTACCCGATAACTGGCATGACACTTTACAGCAGTATGACATGTTATTAGGATAATTTTAAACCACACATTTATTTTTAAATCACAATTCCTTTTTATTTATTATGCACGGCACTCACTATTGAAGTGACCTGAAAAAAGTCTAAACGTGGTGAAAAGTTAAAATATAGATATCCCCCATTGTATATGCAGATACACTCTCAAGAGGTACAAAAGCTGTCACTGGGGCTGTACCTTTTCAAAAGGTAAACTTTTGTCCATTTCAGGTGCTAATATGTACATTTTAGGTGTTAATATGTACATTTTAGATGTTAATATGTCCGTTTCAGGTGCTAATATGTACATTTTAGGTGTTAATAAGTACATTTTAGGTGCTAATATGTACATTTTTAGGTGCTAATAAGTACATTTTAGGTGATAATATATACATTTTTGGTGCTAATAAGTACATTTTAAGTGTTAACATGTACATTTTCGGTGCTAATATGTACATTATAGGTGCTAATATGTACATTTTAAGTGATAATAAGTACATTTTAGGTGCTAATATGTACATTTTAGATGTTAATATGTACATTTCAGGTGCTAATATGTCCGTTTCAGGTGCTAATATGTACATTTTAGGTGTTAATATGTACATTTTAGCTGCTAATATGTACCACTAAGGTACCAATATGCAGCCTTTGGGTACAAAAGTGTACCTTTTGAAAAGGTACAGCCCCAGTGACAGCTTTTGTACCTTTTATTCTGAGAGTGGTGTTGAGATATCCACATCAGAAGATGGTAATCTAGACAAATCTGTATTTGAGTGGGTTTTAATACGGATTTACACATACAGGCAGTCTTAGCTCTGGTTTTTATTTTAGGAATGAAGAATGATCCCTGATGGGGAAAAAGCATGTTGTAAATAAAAAAATTCCCTGACTACATCCTGAACCAACAGACTGTCAACACAGAGCTGTATGTGTCATTAACGCTATTGATTAAACTGATTACATAATAGCAGATGTAGAGGGGGTGGTGCCAGATTCTGTGGGCAAAGGAAGTGATGACCGCCTGATTTTTAGACGGGCTGTTAGCAGTAAATCTGCCGAGATTAGACAATCGGTGAAGTCTGAAAAGGCCTATTTTTGATTTATTATCTAGAATCCCTGAGTCAGTGGAAGCACTTCTGATAAACAGCTATTGCTCACATGTCTAATGTTGGAGCTGAGACGACATGAATATGAACAAACAAGCATGCAATGGCAACACTTGGAAATCTGTGGCGTACGGGAGTCAGTACAGTAGATGCCATCTAGGCTTGGCTGTGACTCTGACCTAGGGCACTACCAGGTTTTTATGACATGTGTTAACTAGATAATTTGGTGACATATTATGTTAGTCATCTGAATAACCAATTTCCTATTCCAAAATCAGATATACAGGCCAAAGGCAACAAGCCTCACCTCTGTTAGGGATGGTTCACACAGAATGTAAGTTGAAAAACAATATGGCAAGCCAAAAGGATCAGAATTATGCTGTGGATTAATGGTGTTTACATCCAAAACACCATACCCGATGGCATTTAAGACAGTTTTACTGCCGAATTCTGGCCTTTCGCCGAAGTCTTGTTGCGTATAAATCAGTGCTCTTCACAAACACTAAAATGCAATGGGCAGTGGAATGTAAAAAAGCAATGTGAAACAAGCCCTACACTGCAACAATGGACTCGAAAATACACTTAAATGCAAATTTTATAATTATAAAAGTGTTTCGTTTATTCTGTTTTAACAATATCATTTATTTAAACCTAAATGTTCCTTTAAAGGGAACCAGATGCAGCCTATTCACATAATATTAGTCAAGCATGTCGGGAGTCTGAGACAGACTTTCAGGTCCATTTAGAAACCATTGATTGGAGTAATTCAGGAAGTACACGATGACTCGGATAGATCTGTAATACAAGGTTTTTTTTTTTTTTTTTTTTTTAAAGTTTATTCATCTAATAACAATTTTTTAAAATATGTATCTAATAAGATCAAAGGATATTTGTCCATGCACGTAAACTTACCATTTTTATCCATTTTGTTAAAAAGTGCCATTTCTATGCACTTTTAAAGAAAGGGGACGGAAGACGAAATAACCCTTGATCTTAAAGTCCCCCTGGGGTGAAATGTGTTTATGTGGTGTTTTTAACCTGTTAACTGTCACCCCCCCTTTTTTGAATAGACATGAAAATGCACATTTCGAACTTAAATGGTTGTAATTCAAGAATGCTTTGGAATATAGACATATGATTGGTCTTGTTTTAAAGAAGACATTTGGCAGATTTTTGTAGAAGTGAAAAAAATTAAGAAAGTGAAACAGAAAAAAAGTTATAGAAGTTTAAGTTTATGGAAATGTACAATGTGAAAATATTAATTATTCATATTTTACATAAAATATATATTTTCAAAACCTGGGCTACTCTAAAATGGCAGAAAGATCAAAGCCAAAAATCTGAACAAGTTGTGTTTCAAATTTTAGGTTGATATCTCAAAAAATGAGCTTTCAGTGAGATTTAGTTTGGGCGCAGTACCGAACGCTTCCACTAGGGCACAATCAGACTCCATTACTGCCCATATAAGGGCGCCTGCATTTCCATTCGTGTTTTGAGTGATATGAACCATTATTTTCACAATTTTCATACAATTTCTGAAGTAGAGATCCTATTCAGAAGTAGCATGGAAAGTTTGGCAGATTTTGATATGAATTGAACCTCTAAGAAACACATACAAAGAACACGCATGTAAGTCATAGCTAGCTGCCACGTCACAAATGGTAAATTTATTATTTTTTTCTTGATATTTCAAACTTTTCAGACCTTTTTTTTCCAAAATAATTGAATAGATTCTATCTTTTGAACTTTTGGCATGAAAACAAACTGAGGTATCTACCATTTTTTCATGATTTTTCATGTTTACTGCTATTTTAAAATAAAGGTCTGAACACGCCTTATGAGTATGAAAATATTCTTGTTTTATATTGATAAATTATGGCTCCTCTGTAATATATTTAGAAAATCAGTCACCAAATATGGAAACTAGAGATTGTAAGCTTTCAAATGATATATAGTTTGTCAATATTATTTAAGGTATTTACTAAGATATTATTGTTTTAAAAATATAGTGGCAAACGTCCCACCTGTGGGACGGTGACAGTTAAGTGGTATATGCTTTAAGACACACGTGTAAATTCATAAGTCGACACCATTGCTGAGAATTTTCTATACTATATACTAAAGTATAAGGAAAGTGCAATTAATTGCGTACCTTACACCTCTATTTACAGACACACTAGATGCTATTTATGGCGCTGATTTATGGTATTATAAACTTGTATGTTCTCATATCTCATTCTGGTCTGGGTTTCCCAAAAGCATCGTAAGCTTAAG